AAAGATAAGAAGATTAAAAAGATGTTGTTTAATATTAATATTGGGTTATTAGAGAAGCAGAGCAACACTGTAAAAAAATCAGTTATATTAGTTATATTTAATAAAATGGTTGATGCCTTTTATTATCAAGAAATGTATGGTGGAAATATCAATGTCATAAATGAGATTGAGAGGGATGATGAAAAGGATGAATTCGGTTTTACTAACATCATTAGTGAGAACAAACATTATGTTTTAAACATATCAGATACTAAAACATTAAAGAACGGGTATAAATATATAAAAGAAATGATTTTACAAAACCATAATTACGCTATGAATACTGCTTATGAAACATTGGTGAAGAATGGTATTAATGTATATTCTGTTAAGACTGATGCTTTTGTAATTGATAGGTTTAACTTGAAGAAAGCACAGGGGTTATTGAATTTCAGTAATGCCATTGGTGATTGGAAATATAATTACAAATATATTTGTCCAAATAAACCATTTCATAAGCAGGTCAGTGTGATAGTAGATACAACTGAATACACTAATACAACTGGTATAGTCATAGATGAATGGAACACTGATGAGATTGTAGAAGACCATATAATCACTAATAAGAGGTTGATGATACGCGGAAGCGTGCCGGGCACAGGCAAGAGTTTTATATGTAAGCATTTACAAGAGAAAGGATATAAGGTTTTATTCGTTGTCCCTACTAATAATTTAAAACAAGAATGTGGAGTGGAGGCAATGACTATAAATAAGTTTTTTGGGATAAGTTATGGAGACGAGAGATTGGAGAAGTGTGATTATTCAGGTTTTGACGTCATTGTGTTTGATGAAATTTATTTCCATAACCCCGCCAAGTGGGTTTTAATTTGGAACTTTTGCATTGACAATCCTGACAAGATTGTAGTAGCAACTGGTGATACTAACCAATTGAAGAACCCTGAGAGGGTCAGTGATGTTTTTAAGTTTGAGGATTACGCTAATCATTGTATAGATTTAATTTTTAAATATAATATTAAATTGTATGAGTGTAAGAGGTTAAAGAATGAAGAAAACAGGAAGAAACTTTATGATATTAAAGATATGATACTGAATAGGAAAGAACCTATACTGAATGTCATTGAGAAGTATTTCGGATGGAGTGAGGGGACTGAAATTTGTGAAAACAACATAGCATATACAAATAACACGTGTAAGAAGGTGAGTAAGAAAGTTAGGGATATGAAAGGTATTAAGGATGAATATATTCAGGGTGAATTCTTGATATGTAGAAAATATACTAAAACAAATGGCAAGAAATTTAATGTGAATATTAAATATGAAATTGTAAGTATTGATGGTGATAAGTTTATATTAAAGAATGTTGGAACAGGAGAAGAACAAGGCATAGTGAGAAAATTATTACAAAAGAACTTCATATATGCCTACTGCTATACCACTCACTCAAAACAAGGGTGTAGCGTAGATGGCGATATAGTAATTTACGATTGGAGTTTATGGTGTTGCTGTCCTAACTGGTATTGGACTTCAATCACGAGAAGCACTGATTTGAACAGGGTTAAGTTTTACAAATATGACACTGATAATAATAATATGAGTAAGATGAAAGTAGAGACATATTTTAGAAATAAAGTGATGAGTTATAAAGAACAAGACCAGAAAGCAGGTAGGGAGATAGAAAGTGATTACTATGTTGATATAAAATATCTAATGAAAATGATGAATGAGACCTGCCAGAATTGTAATGAACCTTTGACAGTAGATTTTGAAAATGATAAGATTGTATCTAATATAACCTGTCAAAGGGTGGATTCTGGATTAAGCCATTACAAAAGTAATTGTATTGGTTTTTGCACCTCGTGCAACTGCGCTTTTTCAAATAAAATATCATTATAAATATATGAGTGATAGTAAGCAAAAAATTATCAGTTATATATATTTTGATAGAGCGGGGTTTCAATCCAAATCCAATACCCTGAAAGATGCCAGAGAGAAAGATAAAACAATTACTATGAAAGATGTTGATGAGTTTATTAGAAAAAATGTTGAGATAAAAAAGAAGCAAAGAGGAATGAATAGTTTTGTAGCACCACATAATCATTACACATATCAGATTGATTTGTTTTTTATGGGTATGTATGATTTTGATGAAGAACAAAAGTTTCGGGGAGGGTTAGTGTGTATTGATGTTCTAAGCAAGTATGCCGTTGTCATTCCAATTGAAAGCAAAAACGAACCTGATGTCATTGAAGCAACAAAAAAGGCATTGGGAAAAATGGGTAAGAAACCAAAGATGATTTATACGGATGATGAAAGGGCAATAGCAGGAAGTGATTTCAAAGACTATGTTGAAGGTGAGAATATTGACTTATACAGAACAAGAGGACATCCTGCTTTTGCTGAAAGATTTATACGCACATTCAAAGATATGCTTTTTAAAAGAGTAGAGGCAGATGAGAAGAAAGGAAAAGAGAACATACAGTGGATAGACTATATTTTAGAAATTATGCTGACATACAATGACAAAATGAAGCACTCCGCGACTCAAATGACACCGAAACAAGCAATGAAGAAAGAGAATGAATTTAAAGCAATGGTTAATGTAGCATCCAAAGCAAAAAAGGAAAGGATATATCCTGAGTTGGAGATTGGAAGTAAAGTGAAGATTAAGAGAAAGAAAGCAATTACAGAGAAAGAAAGGACAAGTAATTTTTTGAAAGGTGAATATACAGTGGAGGCAATCAACGAGAAGTTAGGACAGACTTATTATACACTTACAGATTATCCCAGACCGTTGCTTCGTCACGAACTTTTAAAGATCTAAAATGTCTTAAAATACTTAAAGAGATATTATGTATATATAGTAGGGATATATGGAGATTATCAAAGATTTACCTACTGAGGTGTTGAAAAATATTGTGCGCTATACTCACGGAGAACCTAGTGAAGCATTAAAGAGAATACAAAACAAATATAAAATTGCAAGACTTGGTCCAAAAATAACAACACATAGAGAACATAGAAAACGGATAAATATAAAGGAATACTGTATAATGAGAGAGGAAGTGTCATTTAGTTTAAAATGCATAGAAGATATCGTAAGACACGAACGAGAAGAATTACTATCCTTGATTTTTGAAGTAGAAGATAATTTAGATTACAAAGTTAAACTTGATATTCAAGTTCAAGTAGTAGCAAAACTTTCAGATAGAGAATATGATGAAAACGAATTTAGTTTTAGAGACATTTACTTTCTGAATGACTTTGATGAATATATAAACGAAGATAATATGGATGAAGTATTATGCAAAGCAGTTGAAGAAATAAAGACTGATATAGAAGAAGACCAAGACAAAAATAATATGATAGGCATACAAGCATTTCATTTTAGATTAATAATTATTGAGGACGTTTAAAAAGCATAATTTTAATAATATCATTATTAGAATTATGGATTTGTAAGATGGGATTATTAAAGGGTAGGGGTTTGTCTGTTTTTGTTTGTTGCTTTGTTTTTTATATTGTTCTTTGCTTTGATTGTTTTTTGTTTGTTGGTGTTGCTTTGTTTTTTCTTTTTGTTTTATTTGTTATGATTTTTGTATGCTGGTGTGGTGTGCTGATGTTGCTAAGTTTTTTGTTCTTGGTGTTGGCTGTGTTGTTTTTTGTATATGTTTGGATGTGTGGTGTTGCTTTGTTTTTTTTCTTGGTGTTGGCTGTGTTGTTTTTTTTGTCATTGCTGGTGTTGCTTTGTTTTTGTTCTTGGTGTTGGCTGTGTTGTTTTTTGTATATGTTTGGATGTGTGGTGTTGCTTTGTTTTTTCTTTTTGTTTTATTTGTTATGATTTTTGTATGCTGTGTTGTGTGCTGATGTTGCTAAGTTTTTTGTTCTTGGTGTTGGCTGTGTTGTTTTTTTGTGTGGTGGTGTTGTCTGTGTTGTTTTTTGTCATTGTTGGGGTTGCTTTGTTTTTCTTTTTTGGTTTATTTGTTATGATTTTTGTATGCTGGTGTTGTGTGCTGATGTTGCTTTGTTTTTTGTTCTTGGTGTTGTCGCGAATGCCTCGCGAACCTCTGGTGAGGCGTCTGTGTTGTTTTTTTGTATGCTGGGGGGCGGTGGGGTTATACAACAAAAAACAGGGGATCACCCCCTACTAACTATATGATATGTATATGGTAGGTATATATTATGTATCTATTATGTAAAGAAAATGTATTTACAATGTATATGTAATCAATTTGTAATGTACATGTAATGTACTTATAAGGTATAAGTAATGTATACCTAGTATAAATAGACTGTATATTTAATGTATATCTAATGCAAATAAAATGTAAATCTAATGTAAATATAATGTACATACATGTATATAGTATCTATATATATAGTATCTATTCATATATATATACGAAAAAAGAAATGTGTAAGTATTACAAATAATAATACATTTCTAATGCATATGTAATGTAATTGATGTATGTATAATGTATACCTAATGCAAATAGAATGTATCTATCTCCAATGTATATCTAATGAAAATAAATGTGTATATGATGTATAATTTATCTAGAGACAATGAAAAAAAATATGCATAAATTGTGTATATCTAATGTAAGAATAATTCCAAACAATGCGTATATAATATATAATGCGGCCAAGCCGCATCCAGCAAACCCAGGCACAAAATGATCTTTCAAAAGTCTCTCCAGACATTTCTCAAAAGAAATAACACTCAAACAACACAAGTGTTTATATATACAATGTATGTGTACACGTATCATATATGTGTATGTGTACATGAATATGAATATATATATATATACATACATACATCTACATACATATCTATGTATATATATACATATGGAATTACATGGACGCATGGTCCGAATGCCTCGCCCACAACTTAGTATCTTGGAATCACACAACATCCATCTGCACAGAAGGAAATGGATAACATTCCTCGATTCTTGCGCAGTCCTGGCGTTTGTAGCAGCTGAGTGTCCGACCATGCAAAAGCATGTGAGGAAAGGTGGCCTGAAGAAAGCAGCATCTCATCTGGCGGCTTTCATGCAAGATGGGTACTTCGAATGCCAGTCTGGCAGGACGGAAAGATGCCTTTTTTTAAGAAGGATGATCAGGGAAACTCGAAGAAATTCATGAAGTTTCTTCACTTTGAGGTCCCAGCACTGCTCCAATGAACTCAAGGAAGGTTGTTGTCTTTCGCTTCAGGCCTCAGATCAACGCCTTGATGACGGTCATCTGCCCTTGCCGCAACCGAAACCATGACGCTTTCCATACTTGGAAACCGGCCAGCCACATCCAACCACGCTAGGGCCAGGTTTGTAGCCCTAAGAGAAAGGCCATGTCCACGTGGAATGTTTTAGAATGTTTTGAAGCTTGTGTTTGGGATTTTGGGAATGCGCCCGGAAGAAGCGACAAAAAAAAAATGAAAGAAACGTTCAAACTCCCATCATTTCCAGTAACGGCAAAGCCAGGTCTGTAGAGCGGGCTGGAAGACCGTCACCAGAGCAAACATGATTGATGGCCTTAGAAACTAAGCACCTCCACAATGGTCATGCAAGAAAATGTAATAAGTCACAACGTGCAAGCTGTTGCAAACAAAAGGGAACAAAATCCGCCGACCCCAGTGTGCAGCAGGGGGAGCGCATCACAGAAGCAGCTATCCACCCTTCGTTGTGTTTCCACATGGCATGCGTGACGGTGAGGTTCTTTTTTAAGTGTTTTAAGTGTTTTTTTCCATAGACCCTGATCCACCAGCACGCCTGCTATGTCAGCGTGTCGCAGGCTGTGTTTTTCCACTTCTTGGAGTTGGCAAAGGAAGCAAACGTTAGACGAAATCTTGTGGAGCGCCACTTCGTAGGAACGAAGTTATTAGGGTTGCAACATGTTCCCAAAACACATTTTCATTTTCTTGCTGCATCATCATTTTCCATCGCCGTCTTACGATGTATTAAATCATTTGCAAGTGAATCATACGCCACATGAACAGCAGCAACCCCGTAAACCAGCCTGCAGGGCGGCAGCTCTTAAATCCGGCCATGCCGTATGTTGGTTATAGTCATAGTCATCAGCTAGCTTTAGTTACCTGGGGGCGCCCCTGCGGCTGACCTTTCCCAAAATCTTTCAGGGCCTTGGTGGGGGAATGAGGTTGTGGAAAGCGCCGGGGAGGTAAAAGAACGAAACTGCTCATAAGCCGCTTCCGAAGGTCAATTTCGGAATTTTGTTTTAACGATTTTGGATAATTTGTTGGAGATGCGAAAGTAGTAAAAATATCGTCATTCACAACGTTTCTGCAGTCAATTATTGCTAGCAACATGCTCAAAACTGCGTAAATACCGGTGTTCTGGTGGTTTGGGAGGCAGCTGTAAAAAAAACATTTAAAACAATGGTTTTGGGTACCAAGTCCAAAAACGCTCGCGGGAAAACGCCAACTGCACGACGATTTTAGAGCACCTAAAAATGTTCAACGAAAAATTGTTTAAAAAGACCAAGTGTTACGATGGTCAACCCGCTCACTGTTTGGACTACCACATCACCCGCGCGCGTGCGCCAAGAACATGCTGCAAACACAGTGTTGTTGGTGCACCGGCAGGGTCACCACCACCACCAACAACAACACCAGCAACAACAACAACAACACCAGCAACAACAACAACAACAACCACAACCACAAGCACAACCACAACAACAACCCCTATGTCCTTGTGGCATCGCCGGTGCCCGAAGCTCTACAAAGAATATTGTCGGGAAACACGGCATACTTTGCAAAGAATGGCCATGTTGACTCAACCAGGTGTTGCATGTTCATCTTTCGCAAGGAAGTCAAAAGTTATTTCTTTAGCACCAGGGCCAAAAACGCAGAACGTTGAAGGAATTAAAACAACTCTGAGTTTTCTGAGGCAATCATATGATTCTTGTGCGGGGTTGCAACCCCATTCGAAAAACGGTGTACAGTGCGTATATATATATATATATGTGTGTGTATGTGTGTATTACATATATACGATTCTCTAAATATACATTATAGAAATAAATCTATATAGAATGATTTTATATAGACATATAAATATATTTAATTAAATAGTATTGTACATTTTATGATATATATATATATATTATAAATATATATACATGAAAGATGATTAAATATACACATGTTATATTTACATTCGACTTATATATGTTCATTTTATATTTTCACACTATACACATATATCCATTGTATATTGACATATTACAATTGTACATTAGATATATATATATATACATATATATATATATATTAAACTTGTATATTTACATATCAATATGCCATATATACATTGTATGTATGTATATACACACTCAACTTGTATTTACCTGAGAAGAGGGGACGAAAGCCAGGAACTAGTTGGAACGGGGAGACGAGAGTGGAGAGGATGGGAGGTTCGGCGGGGGTTGGTGGAGGAGGCGGCAGTGCGAGGCTATATTGAGTGCCGTTTTGGAATCCGTGGGGAGAGGGAAGGAATGTGCAGGAGACTTGACATACTATACTTGACACTCCATATGTGGCATTTTACATTCCACACTGGACTGGTTCGACGTTAGACTTTACAGTCTATACTATAGAATCGACACCCCTACATTTCATACTGTACAAGTTATATTTTACATTCCTGGCTCTTCACTGCACACCTGACACTCCACAGGAACAGGAAACAATGGGATTTTCTAATCTTTCCATCAAGTATGACAATGATGGGGTTCCATAGATTTTGCTGAAGGTAAGCTAAGAGGGAGCCATGCAAAAGTAAGAAACATTACCAGTACGAGTACATTCTGCAGATGGTGGATTCATCCGTCTGTGTATCAAGTTCCTCATCTGCTAGCTTCTATTAGTCAGAATCCATGACGAGACGATGTCTCAGAGTTTCAAAGTTGAGCTATGTATGTAGGTAGGTACGTACGTACGTATACGTACGTAGGTATGTATGTATGCATGCAGGCATGCATGCATGTCTGTATGTCTGTATGTATGTATGTATGTCACCGGAAATGCCTGAATAGAGACCAACGAACGCGCATGCTGGGCTCTACAAGACCGCAAATCAATTCTCAACACTTTTTATAGAGTGTTTAGAATTCTTAGCATCGTTCAAGACCGACGAAAAGCGTAATGAGTTGCCCGAAAAGAGGAGGTGGAGGTCACTTTTGGGTATGTATAACCTCCGAGAAATTAAACATGATCCACTACAGGATGACAACAAAAAAAATTATGAGAATCACAATAACAACTTCATTTCGGTATGTTTGTCGGGATCAAAATCTAGTGTCCCCCAAAATATATATTGACATCTTGTAGACATATATACATAGATGCATACATATACATATATATATGTAATCTATACACGATATGATATGATACTATGTTGTAAACTGGTGGAATACATCGAATCCCGTCCGGTGGATATCAAATGCTGTCTGGTTGCAAGCCGCAATACTGCAAAACTGTGGGCTACACATGGCTATACACATATGATTGCAAAGCTTTCGGATCAGACACCCGTTTTGGCGACCTCAAAATCGGGGCCGGCATTGAAGCCATGCATGCAGTTGGGCTACAAAATACTTATGAACAAAAAAGGAGCGATGGTTCGAGACAGCAATAGTTTGCAAAGCAGCTGCAAAGCCGATGCTGCACTAGTGGACCATGTGAGACTCCGTTCTTGCTTCATTTCCCCCTCCATTCCCGTCGCCCCCAATGCACGTTTTTCCTTGCCCCAATGCACGTCACTGGACGGACCAGGGGGGAATCGAACCCCACCGTCACCCAATTGCCACCTGGTACATCAGCCTCAAAATCGACCACGGTGGCCACCCTATTCAGTTGGGGAAGTGCCTCAAAATGGTCCGTTTTGAAGCGACCGCCCCCCGGACCCCCTATTCTCACTTCGTTCGCAAAGAGCAACTTAAGCCAAGCTTGACAGCTGGCTTTCGCAATATTAAGTATATATTTACAGTATTGATATGTACATACAGTTTTACACATTGTAAATATGTATACATATATATATATCAAATATATGCACAATCATTGTATAGTATATATATATTTATTTATTTATATACATATATATATATATATATTTATATACATTAAATATTCTATATTATATATACATCATATTTGATATACACTTTAAAAATACTTTATATGAAAATTACAAATCATATATTTCTTATGCACATTTTATATCTACAGTAAATGTATTTATATATATATATATACATTTTATATACCTTACATACACATTTTTACACATTTTATATCTATATATATATATATTAATTACGTATTAAATATGCATTTTATATACAGTATATAGGTGTTCTGCCGCGCTCGTTTTGTCTCCGGTTTGCTCCATTCTGTCTGTCCTGTTTCACAGGACCATCATTGTATGCTGGTTCATCCATTCTACCTCCATGCCTCCCACTTTTTCCCGTCTGTGCACTTTCTGGCTTCGCCGCCAACAGAGTAAACCATGCCGCTGGTAAAAACCTGCACTTTCTCCAGCATTTGTAGAGGAATCCATTGGCAGCATGCAGCATGCATGATTCTAGCCTTTGTCCCTGGTGCTTGTTATGGAAAAAAATTGTCGCTGAGCTTTCTTGTAAGTATATTTCCATGGTCCTGGCGCTAAGCCAGCGACCTCTTCTTCTGGTCAGCACGCATGCTGCCCAGATCTAAAACTCTTCTATCAGGTCTTGAGGTTGCAGGAAGACGCAGTGCTGTCAGCAGCTGACGAAAACGATTCTGCAGTAACTGAGGTGAGAATCTCCACAGCTTTGTTTCATGGGAGAGTCTCTCAAAAGTACGGCGTATCAGTTCGACCAAGTCCTTGTACTCAACTTTCGCCACCTGATGTCTTACGGCTCGGAACCGAGTCTTTGGTTCTTGCACCCTAAGCAGTTCTGAAGCCGAAGTACAAAGCACATCTGATGGGAGCACAAGGTCAATACGTCAAGCTGCCAAAACTTCGCCAATCCTGCAGATTGCTCCCCAGGACACCTGCAATGTCAATCCAACCCCAGCACAAGCATACAGTTAACAGAGCTAGCAGCAGCTGAAAAGGACATGCCACATGGTGTTCAAAGGGCTCCCCTCGAAGCCAAGAGAACGCCAGCTCCAGTCATCAACCTGCGGATTGATGGTTTGACTGAGCATACCGCATTGATTGTTTCTGAGTAGTGACTGTATGGGCGTCCAGCTTCATATAGGGCCAGTCCGTATTCAGAAAGCTTTTTGCGAAGCTCTTCCGGATTCCCGTATGCTGCTTCATTTTTTTTTCAAAACAGCAGCCCCTGCTCGCGCCCTCTACCGAAGTCCAAAAACTACCTAAGGGGCTGCATCCTACAGCTACCAAAATCCATATCCCAAACTTATTCAGGGCTAAAGGACCTTCCCCAGGATAGCCAAAAGGTGAGTTGAAGTCCATGACAGCCTGATGAAGGGAGATGGGCAAGGAAAGCTGGAACCGTTGCCAATCGACAGGGCGGAGCCCCGGGATGACAAAAGACTTCAGTCCTGACAGCCCAAGGACTAGAATCACCCAGTTCGAAATCCATCGCTTGAGTCTGGGCAATTCTGCAAGCTTATAAAGTCCATCGAGGTCGAGGTCATGTTGTCCACAAGCGCAGGCAAGTCGCTGATCAACCTGCTAACCTGGTACAACTGCTTTGCCCTTGCTCTCGTTTTCGCAGGACGATGAGCAAATCGCAATCCACCGTGAGCAATCTTTGAAGTGGTGTCAAAGTCCGGGTGGATGCCGTAGGGGTCGCTGGAGCTATTGTCCCGAAAGCAGAGCTCGATCCAACAGCTGGAGCCGAAGACGACGTCCAGGTCGTAGAGCTCCGCCCACCAACCGACGTAGGGTCCCGGGAGCGACTCCTATCCCGGTACGACGTGGTTGAAGGTGAAGGCACCATAGAGCTCGGCGACAACGAGGTGGACGAAGCGCAAGGAGCGGTCCAGGATCGGAACGTGCTCCGCTACCAATGCGGTAGCCAGCTCGAAAAGTCCCCCTCTATATACTCAAGCAAGTAGCCAAACCAAATGGCTAAGAACACGGTCCCTCAGCAAGAGAGCGTGGGCACCGGTTGTTTTCGAGCCTGACTCAAGGCCTTCGGTGCGAAAGGCCGGTAAAAGGGTTAAGTGAAAAAGGGACATGATGCAATTGTTGGTCTGTCAATTGCAGCTGGCTAATGATGGGCTGGACGGCTGCCTTGCAGGTACTGGCATGGCTGATCTGGGCGCCGGGAAGCTGTAAGGTGCCTGCGCCCCGGCTTGAGCCTGTGAAGGGGAAGCGGGAGCTGCTGCTGCTTGTCTCTCCTGCTGTTCTGCCAGGACCCGCAACTGCGACGTCAGGTGGGGCAACAAATCCATAATCTGATCCACCTTGACCTTGGATGCCAAAGACGCTACTGTGTTTCTTTGGGCCTGGTACTTTTGGGTTACATAGGTGTTACAGTGCCTTCTGCGAGACAAGCTGACATGCTGCTTGCTGGGGGCGATGCCATATGCAGGACCAAAACTTCTACGGTCCTCTCTGGGGCAAAGAAGGTGGGGACAAAAAATCTTGCCCTCGCCCCAACCAGGGCTCCTCTCCTGGAACGGACTGCTCTGCCCAGGCATCTAACATTGCATCTGAGGTCGCCTCGCTCCGGAACAGCACCGGCTCCATGTTCGTGGCGACAACACCCGAGGGCCTAAGTCCATGGCCAGCAGACCAGTGATCCTGTATAGATCTGCCACGTTTGCCACCCTGGTGGCTGCTTCGAGTCCTCTTGCCTTGAAGATTATATATACCTTCGGCTGAAAGTTGCTTGGCCACACGGCCTGCAATCGCGAGCCTAGCCCAGTAACCTGCTTCGAAAGCCCTTCTTGCTCTCAACTCTGCAGTGACTCCTTCCTCCTATCCAAATCTGAAAGGCTGCTTGCTGGATGAGTATCCTCGCTTTCAAGTGCCCTGAGAAGATGGGGGTGCTCTTGAGCGAGTGGTTGGCTGAGAAGTGATGGCTATTGACAGCCGGTCAAGTGCTGCAACAAGATCAGCCAATCCAGTGGGATTATCACTCATCCAAGGCTCTGTAGCCTTGGAGACGCCTTCTCGCCTGTGGATGGAGCGGAGGGACAGGGGCCACACCTGGGCCGCGAGATTGAGAAATTGGACAGAAGAGCCAAAATCCAGCAAGGATAAAGAGGCCAAAGCAGGACGAAAATCCAAGAAGAAAGGCCAGGAGGACAATGAACTAGACACTGAAGCCCCCAGAAACCTAAAAGAAGGCCCTCTCTTATTATGAGAAAACCCTCAACCAAGACCTGATGCCACATCCAGAGGCTTGAGGCGGCGTCGTCAGGAACTCTCTGGCTCTCACACCTATTGCCATACATTATACTAAATATACTCTATATAATATTATACATATAATATATATATATACATATATTAGCTACATTCCAGTATGTATAATATATATTCATGTGATGATATGTAATATATATATATGTATATATATACATATATATATAATCATATATATATACAAACATATATATATATATACATATATATATATATACATATATATATAATAAATATACACATACATACGCGGTGTCAACGGTGGCAGCTGCTCTGATCAACTGCCTCGTCAACCTAAATTCTCACAATGACTTTGTGGAGTGACAATAGCCCGCTTTTTTGTTTGCTCCAAGTATTGCTGCTTAGCCCATTCGTCCAATTTGACTTCTTACTCTGCTTCAAACGACAGCCGACAGCCTGACAACAACTGAAGCCGAGACGAGCGATACTCCAAGACTGTCAATCCTGCGGTGGCCGGTCGTCTCAGTAATTAGAAGTAGTGCACCAAAATCCGCTCGTCTTTTGACTCTTATTGCTGGTTCACTGACAGGGCTCCACTTCTATTGTCCGAGAGTGAAGCCCAAATCACAGCAAAAAGCCGAAAAAGCTGCATTGAGGCTCGAGCCAATCATGTAGTACGACATTGTCATGCAAATGTGATTCACCCCAAAGGACATGCAGACCTGTGGCAAACGTCCCATTGAGCAAAATTTCCTATCAAGTGAGCTTATTGACCTTGCCTTTTGTAATGTCAAGAACGCAACACGCAGTCAACATGCACATTGATTTGAGGTTCTGACCCTGGCATAAGCATCATAGCACTGCCACTTTGCTTGCAGCCTGCAACATCTCAAATTCAGATTGCTACTGCTGTGGGTGATGTTAAAATGTTGCATCTGTGATGTCGGCAATTGAGTAAGAAACTGCATTTAAGCTCCACCGGAATGAGAGTCAATTATTCTCGGAGTCATGGCTAAGACTTCTCTTCATACTAGCATACTGGATTGGCGTGGCAAGTGCCAATGGCTAAATCCACACACACTTCAGACCTGTTTCCTGAAACCAGGGAAATGAAAGACATCGTCAAATATCCCCAAAGAAATGCCGAAGAAACAAACATCTTCCACATTGCTGGGCCAAGATGATGATGTTCGGTCATGGTGGCACATCGTTCCTGGTCCCCACACTGCTGCTGGGCACTGAGCATCCAACTCCCGAAATAGTTTGATGTGTTTACCAGGAAGGTTCACAGCTGCCTGCAATTGTCAAGACTCCTAGACTCTTAGAGTAGCACTCAATGTTTCGGACTTGGCTCGCTAGAATGATGGCAAGCTACTCACGGTCCCACAGAAAACAGACTAACTCAGAAGAGTAGCAAGAAATTTCAAGTAGCTAAACAGTTACAGGCCCAACTGGGTAAATGATTGAACCTACACTGAAGTTCTAGGATGAATGGAGAGCAAACTCTCAGATCTCCCAGTCGCTTTCACGAAGTCACTAAATCACTAAATCACTGAACGCTCTCGTCGCACTAAACAGTGCCTGTTGCAAAACACCTTCGTCATCCGCGTAGCCAGGCACGCCAGACTCCAAAAGATCCTGAATCAAACATGGCATTGGGGTGTTGCAACACTGTTCCGAGTAGGATTTTGTGGTCTTAAAATGTCTTATATAAAATGTCTTGACATGTAACCGATAATGAGTCATAATGTGATATAATGAGTACTTGCTCATCAACATGATGCGGTGGCACGAAATCATGTCCTGTTGCTTCATCTCACCAGGCTTCACCACGGCAGTGAGGTACTCATCGTCGCCCTTGGCAGCTCAAAGGATGCTAAGGCGATTGCTAAGGCAATCTAAGGCAGCTAACTTCACCCGACAAGTCCACGCCTCACCCTGACCAGTGGAACTGGGATTCTTCCCCGCATCTTTCCTGCCTTGGCGACAGGAGTCTATGACTCGAGCTTTTGCAAATGGCTGTGATGTGGGGGCCACACAGATCATGTTCATTCATTTTCATAGTATTCAGAATTCAGAAGTTGAATGGAAAATTGAAGGCACTCCGAAAGAAGTTCCTGGCGCTGCACAAGAATTTTAATTGGTCCAAATCCCTCAGCTTGCAACGTTGCTGCCACTGCGGAACTCCCTGCATGAAGGGAATACGCATAATGTTTCCTCCTTGACCTCATGAATCCGTGGCACGTACAGACTTGGCAAACTTGGCAAACTTGGCAAGATCGTGGCGTTCTGCCATGTTCTGGCATGCCCTCTGACATCGCCAAGCTCATGACGTTCAAAGTCAGTAAGGCGCGCATTCATTGCAGACATCCTCAGTGTCTCAAGTTCTGAAGAAAAATCAAGGAAGACAAGATGCAACACGGCTCAACACGGATTTATGCATGTGGAGTCAGTGAACATGTTCTTGCGGCATCGCTAAAAAGATCTCCTGGGAGGTTCCAGATCGTGCTGAGTCATCAGCTGTTGGCTGCCAGGGATGGGTAAGCGGACAAAGCGTGTCAAGAGTCGAACCTAAGTGCAGCATGGACACACGCTATTTATATCCATTTATATAGATCAATTCAGATGGCTACATTGTGCTCCATGTGGTACCCATGAATACACACATTCATACATACGATTCAAATTTACTTGGCACATTCCAAGGTTTTGTAGGTTTCTAAATCGCGAGATGACGCGTGCGCTTTGCATTTCAGTTTTCTCCCATCATGGTCTGCAAAAAGTCAGTGCCTGGCTACAGATAATTTGATATTTTTGCAGTGGTTGCTATGCTGCATTGCTACTGGAAATTAGTCTGATGGACCACAGAGCAAAGGTGGACTTTGTGAATTTGCTACAGTACACCGCAAGCAAAAAACGAAGGCACCAAATCTCACCTGTGTGCTCTGAGATCAAAGCTCCGAAACTGTGGGAAGATATGGATGCGTACATGCTGAACCTCAGTTCTCATGTGCAGCTGCAAACATCCACAAAGTACTTAGACTTGACTATCACGAATCACAGTATTTGTTTCTTTCAGCCTGGCTCTTTCTGTCGCCAAAGGAAGTAGAGTTTTCATTTTTAATCGAAACAGGCAATGCCAGCTTGACTTCGGGTTTTTCACGGAACAAAATAGACCAGATCTGAGGTGCCAAGCCATACACAAAGGAGCACGTAGGTGAAAGTCCCTGCTGCCTCGCCCATAATTCTCTACCCAGCCACCTTTCCGATCCTCTCCCACCAGATGCTGGATTGGCAAAGGGTCGAGGTTGGTTTTGAAGATCTGTGGCACGAGGATCACTGAGGCCAACACAGAAAGCCAGTACAAACCCAGTAAAAACGGCGGTGCAGAGGTCTTAGCACATGGGAAGACGATGCAGACGCATGAGAGTCAAGACATATCCTGACATGTCAACACATTTCAGGCATTGAGGTTATGCCGGCTGGACCCCGGCCTTTCTTGGAGTCACCCTTGGGCCCCGGACCCGAATCCTTCCCTCTGTGTAATAGATCACCGTGCATTCCAACACCAGAGCTCCAACCACATGGTACCTCATTTTGACTGGCAAATTGTGTCGTGTGCGCCGTGTATGCGTTTCGGTTAGCCGCGGTTAGCCCATGTGACCAAGCCGGGCACATCTCCATCTTTGCCACGGTCAACTCCACTAGATCTCGCACATCCTATCAGCAACAAAGCCCGACATCCGTGAATGGCCACAAAGCTTGTCAAAAACCCACACTTCCAAATCCAGTTACCTCGCGAAATAACTGGAAACGCTTGATTTGCATCTCCAGTCGCAGCCTGAGACTCAACTGGTTGAGATGCACCCCAGGCTTCACAAACTGTCAAACTGGTCAAGTAATCCCAAGCTCAAACTGTAAAAGTGCGCTTTGGAGCACTTCAAGTGGAGTCTTGACACTGTGACATCGCTTCGGTGCATTTGTGGTAGACATCCTTGTGGTTGCTTCATGTTGTGTATGGTTTTGACAAGAAGACCTGGTTGATCGGAACTGGTCAGGAAACAAAAGGGTACTGCACAAGGGTATTGCGAGGCATGCAGCGAGGCTTGATACAAGTAAAAACCTCTTGCGAGGATCTGTCTGAATCTGTCTCTCCAAGCACCGGGCAATTCTCGGTCGAGGCGCTGCCCCTGCAAGGCTCGAATGAATGTTCAGCACAAAGAAAAACATAAAGTCACAAAACTTGCTGCCATGTCTCTTTTATATTGGTAATGCAATACCTCTTGAGAAGAACCGCCCTTCCACCAGACTGACATTTCTCGTCATCTCTTCATATCAATTCAACAACTATCTTAAAGCTCCAGATTGGCCGAAAATGCTCTGCGAGCACAAAGTGCATGTGACATCGAATCATCTCTGCATATCTCCATCTTTGTTGCTTCACGCCCAAAGGTCCAGCGAGACTCCACAAAAGAACCTGTTTATGTCTTTTTGCCTTGCTTGTTTGCAACTTTGACAAAGTGCGGCACCTTGACCTGTGCTCAAATCATTTCGAAACGTGTCTGCTCAATTCCCCTTGCTTGACCATGCTAGTGCTTCAGGATGCTTCAGGCAGGAATTTCTTCGCTCTTGCTTCCTCTTGACAACAACCTGCTTCTCAGTGCCAACTCATACCACCTCTTCTAGTACCCGAAGGGATCACAAGTCTACTTTGCGAGCCAAAACTACGATGTCATCCAATTCAATGCACCCACCATCTTCCTCATCGCCACCAGATAGGTAGGGTAACCTGCTAACTGCTACGGGTTGGAAGCCACAGTTTGGCAGAAAGTCTTGCAGCAGAACCTTCGCATCTTCTTCCCAAGTTTGGGTCTCACTGAGAAGTATCTTTTCCATTGGCTCGCCATTCCACTTTGTCTCCTTACCATAGTATGAAGCCACAAACGGCAACGGAGTTGCCAACAGCAAATATCCTTCGTCACTCACCAACTTATGCACAGCTGTGCACAAACGCTGAGGCGAGGCACACCGATCAAGAACATTCAGCACGGAAACCAATGAAAAGGACTCGCCGCTCTTCACCCTCTCGTTTGCTGTCACAGCTATGTCCTTTCATGCCGCTTCCCGATTTCGAAGCCCCTGGTTTTGAACGTCTGAACAACACTTTTTGGGGTTGAATCGAGCACAAGGTACAATGTTCCAGTCAAATAGCAAAAGACCGCTGCACGAGTTTCAAAAACAAAAGACGGAAAGACAAACGACCCAGTTTGAAGAAAATGGATTTGCAGCCATTTGTCCTCGCACCATACTTCGTAGCCACCCATGCGCAGTCTCATAGCCATCCCCATTGAAGTCTCACTGGCAACTAGTCTGCATCCGAGTGCACAGATGTTCTGAGTGATACAACCATCGCCGGCTCCCACATCCAAGACCCGAAGCTTGGAAGCAGGTCCAGTTCTGGCTAGCAGTTTCTGCAACTGCTCAGTGGTGAGAAGGTGCGAGCCAGCTGGGTAAAGTAAAGCTTGGAGGTCAAACTCGTTTAGTGGCAGTTCGCAGAGGGCTTGGTAAATTAAGGCCTGTGGGGATGATGCCATAGGCGCATTCAAAACAAAATCCGTGGCAGCGTCGTGAGGCCCGAGGTCCACAAACAATCTGGCCAACGTTGCCGGCCAGGACTGTGGTGCTTCGCTCCATTGTGCGTCATCGAAGAGATCTAACTGATCCAAATGGTCCAACTCGTCAGTCAGCCCAGTCATCCTCCCACTCGGCTTTGAGAAGAGCAAAGTCCGTGGAAGTCCCAAGCCATGTCGACTTTGGCGTCGGCTTTGGCGTCGGCTTTCGATGCTTGGGCTGCTCAGCATTGGAAGCTGCGAATGGCCACTGAATACAAATGAGTCACCAGCAGCCAAGAGTCCGAAAGCCAATCCGAGTGCCGCTGTCCACAGTATCGCTGCACTCTTGGCTTGGAAACCATCTCGGGAATTCATCTATGGATATCTATGGCTGGTGCCCCCAGCATCTCAAAGGCGAAGATACCAGAACACAACGTGGAATCTGCATTGCTACAAGCAAGAAAACAGGAAAAGCAACCGCGGCCAGATCTGAAGGAGCTGTTCCAAACAAAGCAGCTTTTACAAGGCGAAACCTCTGCTATGCTTGTCACTTGGCATCTAATCTGATACTACAGACAGCGATACCTCAAACATCTGTAAACATCGACAAAACATCTACAACCACTGGTTGCTCTGGCATTGCGTGCCGTGCCTGATCAAATTGGTACATCTCTCGATTGTAGTCGAACAGCTCCTCGAGCGGGACAAGGTGCGTGTCGACACTCCACCACAAACACAACTAGGAAAAGTACTTCTACAGAAAGAGACATATTTAGCGGATTGTTCGAGCATGTTCGAGCTACACTACAGTAAGCTGCTTCATATCAAAACGCCACAACATTGTAACATCTTCAGATTGGCACTGGTATCGCGCTGGCATTAGCCATGTACAAACCGGATGTTCACAAGTTGGTCACCTTGGCAGCAGCCCCAAATGTTGCCAAAAGCTCCACCATGGCCTTGGCACAAAAAAATGAAATCTTTTGAATACGCTCCTTCCTCGAAACCTAGTGCCTCACACATGACACACCAATATTTAAGAAAACTCCTTTCAGGAATTGCCCAGTTCAATGAATTCGTAGATAGGAGTTCAAAGCAAAATATGTTTGCATTGTGTCTAATGAAGGTACCAAAATCCATGCACATCAGGAAGTATTTCCAGCTTGTCTTGCCAGCAACAGCTTTGTCCACCCACCTTTTGCAGTTTTCCAAGGACCAAAGCTTGGTAGCAACTCAAATCTTGCAAGTTCATAACTTCCTGCCTCACCATTAACATGTCATAATGTGTCAATCTGAGACACGGGCTGTCAAATTGGATTTTGGTAAAGGACAAGTGAAAATAGAAGGCTACTTCAACTACGTCTCATGGCCAGAGGAAAGGCGAAGTGTTCGCAAGTCCGACTGCGGTTTTGTCACTGTTGTCGTCGTGAAGAAAAAATTGTTGCAAACATTCCTTGGCTGAACCCTCACGAAATAAAACAATGTGATGACAATATGATAATATGTTCATGCCTGTGGCAATCCAAAATAGAATGCCAACGTCGTGTCAATCAAGCGTCACATTTTCAATGTCATGCTTTGAGTTCAAAACATCAAGTCACTTTGAGTCTTTAGCTCAAAGTTTCCAGCCAATTCAATTGATCTTACTCTCTCTCTCTCTCTCTGGTGCAGTGACCTCAGGAAACAGCAATGTTCTGAGGCACAGAGAGAGAGAGAGAGAGGGAGAGGATGAAGTTGGTACTTTGTGTTGTAGGTACTTTGCCTCTGAAGTTGAGTGAAGTCGGAGGCACAGAAGTATGTAAGTTTCCTCTGAGTGTATTTTGCGGTCTCTTGGTCTCCAGGATTTTACTGCACTGTCCGAGTCATCTCTGGGTATTCCGGTGTCTGTCGTTCAAACAACCAGTTTGGTGCTTGAGCAACAGAAAATTGCGTGGGCATGCCTGCAAATGTATTTCATGCTACATCGCATTCTCACACAACGCCTTTTCCGAACTAGCAGGAGCTTGAAAATCGAGCCAACTGGTATTCTGCCAAGTGGGCAGATAGAGCTTCTGCCGTGCAAGAGCTTCCCGTCTGATGCGGGTGCTGGAAATGTGCAGCATTTTACAGCCATGTTAAAAGCAATTTCAAGCTTGAGTGGTACAAACCGTACTTGATGTAGGGTCCATACCTGAGCTTTCAGGAAGTCACACAGTTCTTTCCAAGTTGTTGCTATGTTTTCATAACTGCCTCTGCTGTGCTCCTTTGTAGCACATACTACCCCCTAAATCAAACCAAAAACAACCCTGAAGCCACCCTACGTCGCCCCACATCACCCCACATCACATAACCCAACCCCATACCTAGAGCTGAACCCTCTCATACTAAATGCCTAAACATGACCAAGATGCTTGCAATGGTTCTGATACGCTGCAAATGTATCTTGTTCAATGGAAAGATGGTTGTTGCTGATTTTGGATGATTTTTGGGTCAAAAGCGCACTTGAAGACATTACTCCCTCACGTTGGAAGAATCAGCTGTCTATTGTTGCTACTCTAATCTGAGAGTCGCGATACATGTACGTCCCTCATGTGTTTGTTAACATGCAAAGGCTTTGTCCCTGTTTCAGAGTGCTGGCTGTCTTCAAGGACGAAAGGCATCTCAAGATGTCGAAAGGCTAAACCAAGGGGGTGAGTGCACGATGCTGGCCTAGCTGCCTAGCTGGGCTGGCCGAGATCTCAAGCTCCTTAGCCTCCTAGCTGGGCTTCTTATTCTCCCTTGCCACTTATGCCTCCAAGATGCGTCTCATGATATCTCATGCTTGCATCTTTGACACAATCTCTGCGGCATCCTTGGACAGGCCAGCCTGGAGATGCACAGGCTCACGGCTCACCAGTGAAAGTGGCCAAGGTATCTCAGCCGCAGCTTCAGTACTATCTTGCAGATTGTTTCAACCCATCAAGCAGCTTGCTCTGTAGCTAAAAAACGCAAAACTCATCCTCTTGATATTTCTTGATATCTCCTGAGATCTCTTGATATCTTTACTCTTGGAGTTTTCATGATGATATTGTATGATTGATACATATTTCGTGATCTTTCGTGTATCCAAAGCTCAGCACCTTCATATGCTACTCGTCTGGCCTTGCTCAGGTCTGCCAATCGGTCCAAGATCATCTTCTGCCGCTTCTCATCCAAGAGACGCCAGGTCCTTCACGAAACACGGCCAAGAGCTGCCAAAAGTACAATCAAACCTCAATGATTTGAAAAAAAAACTTTTTAAAAAAACAATCATCAAAGACTCTCTCATAAAGGGTTTTGAAGATTACGCCACCCACATGGCCAGGAGCAAACCTACAATATCAAGTGAAACGGGGAGGACCCAGGACTTGATCAGAGTGCCAGTCGTTAGACAGGACAGGATCAGACCGTCTGAATCAGACCAAAGAGTCCTGAAGGCGCCGTTCGCCATGCGAGCAGCCACCTGGCAAGTGTACCCCGGAGTAAAACCAATCCTCCTGTGGTTGACAAACACAGAGTCATCCGAATTCCAATAGATAGACACTTAGAATCACCTTGACACCCTGTCAAAGCCTGGGCATATTATTGACGTTGGCTGCGAGCATCCATCAAAACAAATATATTTTTTTTTGTTTTGGTCCTGGATACAAAAAGTAGAGTGAACTGTCATAGCCCCAAGATGCAAGACAGGAAATGTCTACTCCACTGCCTGCGGGTTCAGGGCATCAACTTTGGGGATCATCTCCAGAGCAAAGTCATAGCCGGAGCCATCAGGCAGGTGAAATTGCGGTGAGGAAATGAAGACGCTGACCACAGACCGCAAACGGTTTGGATTCTTCAAAGAGAACCTTGGCGTTGAAGTTGCAAAAGTGGAATCATTCAGGATCTTCGGCTGGTGTTGCAACACGTAGACATAAATAGCACAAATAAAGAATGAATAAATGCCCAGCATGCCAATGGATAGAAACCTCGTCGTGGGATTACTTGCAATGGTTCTCTGAATCGCCAGTAACCACTGGATGCTTATCCCCTGGGACAACACAAGAGCCCACAACGCTGTCACAGCGATGTCACAACGATGTCACTTGCTCATATCATTTGAGTTCGTTCGAGAACTGTAAAATGCTCAAGAAACTCGGGATGTTCCATGAGCTTCTTCACCCGGGGCAAAAGGTCATCCACATCTGCTCTCGCCTGCGATGCAAACCACCTTGCAGGAGGCCACAAAATTGTCTTAGAGGGTATGAATGACTGCGGCTCAGCAAAGCAAATACCGCACGAAATACTTCACAAAACACTGCACGTTTGCACCTTTCATGACATGTCATGACCTCAAATCATTTCAATCCAGTGCTACGCTGCAACTGCATGCTACGCTGCCACTGCATGCTGTGCTATGTGCTATGGATGTGCTATGGCTGTTGTGGCTGCGATATATGCGATATGCTGCTGTGGGACTTGTCGATGACATTGGCATCACCGTTCGCATCTGCCAGGAACTGCTCGATGGCCTCTTTGGCCTGGAGCACAGCTGGAGCACAGCTGGAGCACAGCTGGAGTGGTACAGCAGAGTGTAGCCCAGCACAGCGCAAGACAGAGCAAACGGCAGTGCACAATGAGCAAAACAATCTTGGCCGCATGCCGCATGTATTCACCAAGGAAATTTTTCTGTTGGGCAGCAGGGTCAACAGGCTTGCAACATTTTCCAATTGTAGAATCGATATTGTAAATTCAAAGGAACCACAAGGACATAACCAAGCGAAACTTAGAGATAGCCTTTACATGTCTTTATACATCTTTATACTCACCAATGCAATCCTTCTACGTCATGGACTTGGAACTGGCAGGTTTCCGTTTTTGCCAGGAAGGTTGTACGTAGGGAGCGCAGAAACCCAAGGCATGTCGGATGAGGCTGAATTTTGAGTTCCTGGGAGCTTTGAAGTTCGAATTTTAGATTTTCTGGGTGCCCGGCTTGTGCTATGCCTCTCCACAGCTGAAATTTGAGTTTTATATCTGCCAATTTCCTCAATGAAGTTGTACCATGGATTGAGTAGGGGCGAAATTTGAATTGCGTCTCTTTTGTGTCTTTGCTCAGCGCGGCTCGGCTTTGACTTGCGCCTCTGCTTCGAGAGGCGGCCGGCTTTCTAAAGGACACGTGGCTTGTCATACTGCCACCAATCGACAAATCTCAAGACAATGGGATGTCCCCATGCTCCCACCAAGACGTTGCTTGGCAGGTTGAACATGCGGATACCTTCGTGGGCTTCTGCATCGGGCCCTACAACCCAGACTGGCCTGTGATGTCATCTCCGTAGGTGCCAGATTTGCTCATCTCGTCCACCCCCACCTCCAGCCAGCTCTTGGCTGCGAGCATCAAAAAGGTTTAGTAACAACTGCTGCGCTGGGGCGTCTTCCGAAGACGACAGCAAGAAGAACCGGGGGCATCACGCGCATCGAAGGCGGTTTGCCTGGAAGAATGTGAAAGCCAGCAGGACCACAACATCCCAAGAGCAGTCCCTCCTTGTTCTTCTTGAAAGTGAAATCCATGAGCCCAGCGTGCAAAGAAGCCTGCACCCAAAGTTGGTCCATCTCATCAGAATCCACACAGAACGGTGATAGAACGCGATCCTCAGAAAGAACAACATAATCTGTCAAGATTTTCACGTCAGTCAGAGGGTCATCTATGAATGCACGAAGCTCACCCAAGCACTCCACAGAATAAGCCTCAGGCTTCTCCTTAGACGACAACATGTGTCTGTAATTCTTGATCTGCTGCACCGACGGATGAAGATCTGCACTACTTTCTTTCAGGCGCATGTTCTTCAGAGCTCGCAGAGGGGTCTAACTGGCGAATGCTTTGGCATAATGTCTTTTCAAGACTGCAGCATTCTTGTTTCCGGTGCGTTTCCCACTTTCTTCAACTCGCAATTGCCCAGCCTCTGTCCACCCAAGAGAAAACTGCTGGTCACAGTCAACACACTCCTTGCAGCGAGCTATCGGCGTGGTCTTGTTTTGGAAAGTCAAAGCAATGAGTGTCTTTTATATTTCCTTCCCAGAGTTCAACCACGCTTGACCAGCAGCTCTTAGTCTGCCCGATGGAACGTCTTCAACGGCCACCGTGGTCCATGCTTTGCGGCGTCGGTTGGTTGCTACCTCCCCTTCCACAACTTGACCCGACATTTGCCACTGTCACACAAGAGATGGCAGGCTAATATCCAATGCTGTCACCAAGCTGGTTCAAACAAAGATATCGTCTAAACTGCATGCTCCATCCGGAGGTGGAAATTCAAAGTTCAAATCAAACAAAGAACTGGTCCAAACTCCAAACATTGAATTTCAACTGAGTGCAGACATTCGGCGGTGGACAATCAAATTTTAAACCAAACAGGTAGCAACAAACAAAAATCAAATGTTAGCTGTTGCAATGTGGCCAGAAGCTAAAATTCAAATTATCGAAGGAAGTTTAGAAGTCAAACTTCCGACAATATGGACAGATAAAAAGCAGAGATGGAAAGGGTCAGAGAGAAGAGAAAGATTAGAAGAAAGAAGAGTAGAAGAGAAAGAGTCAGAAGAAAGAAGATGCAGATGCGCGAAAAGGTAGGAAAGTCGCTTTGTGGCTCCGGAGGGTCGAAAAGTAGGCTCGCTAAAGCGGCGGGTGCGGAGCCAGCTGGCCAGATGAGAGATGAAAAATTGCACGCCGTTGTGGCGCGAAGCACATTTCCAAGTCAAAATGTACAAAACACACCACGTTCGGACCACTTTTAGAAATTGAGATGTTGGAAAAGTGCATGCCGTTGTGGCGCGAAGCACATTTCCAAGTCAAAATGTGCAAAACACACCAGGGTCGGACCACTTTTAGAAATTGAGATGTTGGAAAAGTGCATGCCGTTGTGGCGCGAAGCACATTTCCAAGTCAAAATGTACAAAACACACCAGGGTCGGACCACTTTTGGAAGTTGCGATGTCGAAAAAGTGCACGCCGTTGTGGCGCGAAGCACATTACCAAGTCAAAATGCACAAAACACACCATTGTCGGACCACTTTTGGAAGTTGAGATGTCGAAAAAGTGCACGCCGTTGTGGCGCGAAGCACATTTCCAAGTCAAAATGTACAAAACACACCATGTACGGACCATTTTTGGAGGTTCAGATGTCGTTTCGCATGGCAGGCGCAAGGGATTGTGCAGCTTGTCAGAAGTGACCAAAACGTGCGGGTTTTGTAGCATGTCCAAGAATGATGGCAGGCATGGGACATTTGAAGAGGATCTGCAAAGATGCATTTTCGTGGCAGGCGCAGTACAAAAGACATGTTCATGAGAGATGTTAGGAGGTCAGGGCGCTGATTTCCTGAGAGGGGTTGCAATTTGGAGTATCAGATGTGCAGGTTTGCTAAGATGATTTTGCGTGACAGGTGCAGCACTTCGTATGACCTGGCATTAATTTTCCGTGGCAGGCGCAGTACTTTAGACAGGTGGACTGGAAAAATCGCAAAACGCATTGGTACGAGTCTGTCAGCTCTGCACTCAACTTTCCATTTTTGAAGGAAGTCTCGCAGAATTCTTCGTTTTTGATGTCTTGCACTTCGAAAAATGAGGAAGTCTCGCAGAATTGCTTCGTTTCGGATGTTGTCAAGCTCAAAAAATGAAGACGTCTCGCAGACTTGTTCCGTTTTGGACGTTCTTACGTCCAAACATTACGGAAGTCTCGCAGAATTTCTTCGTTTTTGATCTTGCAGATAGATAGATAGATAGATAGCTAGCTAGCTAGCTACATAGATAGATACATAGATAGCTACATAGATAGCTACATAGATAGATACATAGATAGATACATAGATAGATACATGGATAGATACATAGATAGATACATAGATAGATACATAGATAGATACATAGATAGATACATAGATAGATAGATAGATACATACATAGATAGCTACATAGATAGATACATAGATAGATACATAGCTAGATACATAGATAGCTACATAGATAGATACATAGATAGATACATAGATAGATACATGGATAGATACATAGATAGATACATAGATAGATACATAGATAGATAGATACATAGATAGATAGATAGATAGATAGATAGACAGATAGATAGAGAGACAGTTTTGAGCGATAGATAGATGGAGAGATGGAGAGATAGAAAGATAGAGAGATAGATAGATAGATAGATAGATGGATAGATAGATAGATAGATAGATGGCTAGATAGATAGATAGATAGATAGATAGATAGGTAGATAGGTAGATAGGTAGATAGGTAGATAGGTAGATAGGTAGATAGGTAGATAGGTAGATAGACAGATAGACAGGTAGACAGCTAGACAGATAGACAGATAGACAGATGAAAGATAGTCAGAGAAAGAGAGAGAAAGAGAGAGAAAGAGAGAGAAAGAGAGAGAAAGAGAGAGAAAGAGAGGAGACCTCAAGCACCTTTCGGTCCATCAGTGGATTCGCTCTGCCATCCGTGATTCACAACAACTAACCTCTCCTATAGGTTTCCTATTTTTGAAACTTCCGCCACCGCCTTGTGCGGTACTACTGGTAATCCAAAAAGAAAAGGGGATCTGAGATAACAGCTGACATCTAACTTTCAAACCAGGATGCATGGATGGAAACCGTATCCCGAATAGTTTGAAATTCGAATTTCCAACTATAGGGAATTTGAAAACAAGACATACTTGTCTGACATATGAGAAGATAATGCAAGATTCATCAAGATTCAATGAATTGACAGACTGATTTCCTTGCTGCACACCCTTGTCTCACTCATCTCACTCTTTGTAAAGTCAACTTCTGCTGGCTCCAAATCCTGCTCAACAATCACACAGCTAACAGGTTGCCTCCTGTGAGTCTGGTATGTTGCACAAACAGCTGAAGGCTGCAAGCTTGTCTGTCATGCCTTTGGCCTCACACATCAAACAGATCGCTACGAAAATCTCAGGAGAATACAGTCAAGGAGAATACAGTCACTGTGGCATCATGGAGAACCGTGGAGAACCGTGGCGGACTGTGAAGGCAAGCAACGGTCTTGAAATGTTTTCCGCAAAGCTCTGCAGCTTTTGCATCTCCTCGACACTCAAAACACTTACAATGTCTCACAGCAATCATGAGCAATCGAATTATAAAGGGAGGGAAAAGATGGCAAAAGCACAATTTGTGAAAAGTCATCGCCCTCGGAAATCCGCTGGAAATTTTCAAGAACAAAGGGGACCTCATCATTCCCAAGTGAAATGTATACGACATGTTCATACTTGTTCCAGGTTTGCACAAGTTTACCAAAGCTCCACCTGAAGTGCAAAGGTAGGCCAGCAGCACATTTCGAAGTCGTCTCTGGCTTGAACTGGGACCATCGATGACCTAAAGCAATGCATAGGATGGCCTGCATTTTAGTGCACAAAGCAGGACCTTGTGTTGACCACAGTTCCCATGGCAAACAAATACTTTGAAATTTCTGGCTATATCTCGTAATGTCTCGTCATGTCTCCAGCTCCCCTCACTGTTGCTAAGTAACGTATTTCTCATCGTCCTTGGGCGTGAGCTCATCATACCTCTTCCGCATGTCGTCCTCTAACTCCGTTGCAATGACCTTCCGGACACGATTCCTGGCCTCATGGAGTCGCGTAGGATCAATGGGCGGCTTCGCCTGTTGCATCAGCGTGGACTCCGTGGGCAAGATCAGAGCGTAGGCAATCCTCAAAAGACGCCCAGGAATCTAAGGCCAAGGCTATCCACGAATCTAAGGCCATCTAAGGCCATCTAAGGCCATCTAAGGCCATCAAATGTCGCAACAATTTAGCAATGCATGTCCTTTGCCAAATTATCTCGCTCAACTTGAGTCACATGTAACTATGAATCCATTTCAAAGGTCTGCAACTTCAACGAAATATGTTTATTGATATTTATTGATGCTTATTGGCTTTTGCAACACCATCACTTCGTGTCACGACTAGAGTAGGACAGCCTCACATCCGTAAGCGTCTTGGAATTCTGCTTAAAAGGTCTTCACACACCAGGATTTTTGAAAAAATAGAAGTTCACGGCTCCAATAACGCTATCTACAATGCCATGATATGTTGTGCCAAGATATGTTGAGCGGCAAGGAGAGATCATCTGTCACCTTATCCTGCACAATACGTTTCATAGCATCCATGAAGGTTGCATCTGGCTGAAACGAGTCGATATCCTCTGTCTTGAAGGCATCCAAGACAGCCTGTGCCAAAACGCAGAGGTGTTCAACATCAACATCATCGTCGTCATCGTCATCATCATCATCATCATCATCATCATCATCATCATCATCATCATCATCATCATCATATTTTGTTCACATCATCATATTTTGTCCACATCATTCATATCATTCACATTATTCATATCACTCATATCGCTCATATCATTGATATAAATTGTATCATTCACACTATTAATATGACATGATTTGTATATGCTGTTCATATGATTCGTATCATTCATATTCGAATTCAAATTCACAGTCATCACCGTCATCACCGTCATCACCGTCATCTTTTTGATCTTTTTGGTGAACTTCAGCTTTTGAAGGGTGCGAGTTTTGCACCATGTTCTTGTGAATCCCAATCGACCTACCACACACTTTTTGTAAATTATTCAAACCTACTGAAAGGATCTGAAAGTAAAACCCATCTGGAAACTTTCCTTGATGGCCTTCGATCCCAACCGCTGCATCGACTCCCATCGATTGAAGGAATCAGTGTCGAAGCCAGCTAGCAAGGAGAGGTCTTCATCGCTGTAGTCATACCTTTGCAAAATGCCCTTTCACAGTACAAAGCAAACAAATTCGAGAGAACATGAATAAAAAACTTTCAAAATCGCAAGAATCGCAAGAGGCAATAATTGAGCCTACAGGAGGTCTTTCTGTGCAAGCCTTTTTTTTTCTTTGCAGCCATGGTGATGCATCATGCTATCAGTAAGATTCCTTTCATCAACTCTCACAGTCAAAGAGCTTTGGCTCTACCGTAGGCTTGAATGCGGTACATTAACCAAATAAGGACATTCATGGGTTTTCCGACTAATTGGAAGAAAGCAGATCTGCAGCCCAGCAAATAAAACTTATTCATTGGCGCTGAAAGCAGAACTAGAAAATCTTGTCCTGGAAGCTCCTGGGGGCTCCTGGAGGTACCAAGGAGCCAAGGTGCTCAAGCTTCACAGGAGCTGAAAAGCCCCGCAGCAGCGATGGTACTGGCCTCCCGCTTGGGGTCTCGTCTAATTTCAGCTCGAAGGTCTTCGACTCCTGCTAAAATGTAACTGTTGGGCGAACAAATTCTATGTACGTATGTCTACATACATATATATATATATATATATATATGTATTTATTTATTTATTTATATTTGTATTTATATTTATATTTATATTTGTACAGTATTTATATTTATATTTATACAGTATTTTTATCTATTTTTATATTCATATTTATATTTATATTCATATTTATATTATATTATATTATATTATAATATATTATATTATATTATATTATATGGGTGCGAGTCAAAAATCGGGTATGGATCGCTCCGCGGTGATCCGTACTATGGATCGGGAATGCTTACGTAAGGTGCCTGATCCGTACCCTGTCGTAAGGGCTCATCATAGCATACAAACTGTGCTGATACTCCTACTATCTCCTACCAAGGTTGCTATTACTTCTCCTCCTGCTACTGTTGCTGCTAAAACTGCAGTAGCAGTAACAGTAGTACTAGTAAAAGTCATAATAGTAATAATAGTAATCTAATGGCAGTAGCAGCAGCAGCAGCAGCAGCTGCAGTTGTACTAAGAGTAGGAGTAGGAGGAGTAGTAGTAGTAGTAGCAGCAGTAGTAGTAGTAGAAGTAAAGTAGAAGTAGAAGTAGAAGCAGCAGCAGCAGCAGTAGAAGTAGAAGTAGAAGTAGTAATCGAATCGGACTTTCATATTGGCATTTGTTGTGGCGTGACTGGGTTCGGGTATGGATCGGGTATGGAACGGGTATGGAACGGGTATGGATCAGGGTATGGATCGGGACACGCTATCTGGGCCGGCTTTCCCGCTATGGCTGTGAAGGAAGAGAGCGGGGTATTTCTAGTCTGGTCTAGTTCTACACGTGCGAGGCAAAGCAGAAACAGAAGGAATTGTAATCATAGCGCCACTATAGAAGTACAAGAAGCACCTAGTCGAAATAGAACCGATCTTACTAGCCTCCAAGGTGCACTTGCAGTATTGCTAGTAGCTAGTCAACTAGTTGCATTTGTCCAACTACCAGAAGCACTCGGAGGAAGTGAACCAGCACCAGCAGCGGGAGCAGGACCAGCAGCAGAAGCGACAGCAGTAGCAGCAGCTCCTAGGAGGAAGATGACTAGTAGCGGCAGCAGCAGCAGCAGCAGCAGCACGGAGGCAGCGGAGGCAGCGGAGGCAGCGGAGGCAGCAGTAGAAGCAACGGTAGCAGCAACGGGAGTAGCAGTACAAGGACCAGAAGCAGTATTAGGATAAAAAGCAGCATTAGGGCCAGCATGAGTCTTTCTTCAACGAGAAAGGGGTACGGATCAGGGGTATGGATCAGGGGTATGGATCATGCAGTATCATGGGGTATGGATCAAGGTATGGATCGGGGGGTATGGATCGTGTGTGGGTCCGGGGCCTTGATCCATACCTTGTATTTTGACTCGTACCCATATTATATTATATTATATTATATTATATTATATCATATTATATTGCATTATCTTATATTATGTTATATTATATTATATTATACTATATTATATTATATATATTATACTATATATTATGATATATATTATATTATATATTACATTATATATATCATATTACATATTATGTTATATCATATTATATCATACATTATATTGTATTATACATTACATATTATATATTATATATTATATATTATATATTATATATTATATATTATATATTATATATTATATATTATATATTATATATATCATATTATGAGGTACCCCGTTATCTTAGAATATGCGTTTTTCCAATTATGCAGTTGAACTCGAACGCAACTCTACTTAGAATATGCCCCCATTTCGTGCTCATGTGTTTTCTCCCCATTTGAATTATCAACATATCACCCATACTGCAGCATAAATGGACATAAATGGTCATTTTTCAATTTTTCACCCCATTAATTTTCGTTTGAATTATCAAAATATCACCCATATTGCAGCATAAATGGACATAAATGGACATGTTTCAATTGTTTCACCCCACTAAAATCCACCAAAACACCATAAAAAACATTTTTGAAGTTGTTCAAGCTCACCTAAAGGTACCCACCGGTGTCGAGGAACTATGAAAGAAAAAAACTATTTTGTAAGGGTATATATCAATATATATCATATACGTAATTCCCTTTGGGGAGTAGCACCCCTGGATGTCTGAAGTCCGTAAACTAGAACGTTGCAACAAACAAAAAAAGGTCCCCCAAAATGATCAATTTCTTTTCATATTGTATTTAAAAAAATAGTTTTTTAGGCTCACCGAAGGGAAGAATTCATATGGAAAAAAATGGAAAAGTGAAGAATTTGTATAGAAATGTGAAGGATTTCTATATATATATATGGAAAAATGATAAATTTGACTGAACAAGTGAAAGAATTTGTATGGCAAAAATATGGAAAAGTGAGGAGTTTGTATGGAAACGTGAAGGATTTATAAAGAAAAGTGAAGAATTTCTATGGAAAAATGATGAATTCGTCAGTTGAAAAGTGAAAGAATTTATATGGCCCAACGATATTCTAAGTATAGGTTTTTTGACGTCAACTGTATTCTAAGTATCCTGTTTCAAGTTCAATTATGGGGATGCCCTGGGAAGCCAAAATTTCAATTCCATATTCTAAGATAGCGGGGTACCTTATATATATATTGTTATATATACTATATTATATATTATATATCAAATTATATAATATATTATATATGTTATAGTATATATTATGACATATATATATACATTATATTACATATTGCATTATATATCATATATTATATTACATGTTATATGTTATATATTATATATTATACATTATATATTATATATTATATATTATACATATTATATTATATATTATATATTATATATTATATACTATATATTATATATTATATATATATATTACATTATATATATTATATATATATTACATTATATATATTATATATTGTATATGTTATACATTCTACATTATATATTATACTATATATATATTATTTTATATTATATATTATATATTATATATTATATATTATAGATTATAGATTATATATTATAGATTATATATTATATATTATATGTTGTATATTGTATATTATATTTATTAAAATAAAATATAATTACATCATATTATAGTATATTATAATTATATTACATATATGTATAGTATATGTTTATATTCTCTCTCCAAATTTTGAATTAGGATGGGGTTGACGGTGACGGCTGGGATTTTGTAGATAGGTGAAACTTGGGTGGGGGCGCCTCTACAAAATGGTCGAATCAAACCCTGCGTTCCTACAAAGTTCCAGTTGTCAACTCCATTTTTCAGTGTATTTTTTCTTGTTGTACCAGGTTTCTGGTTCTACAAAATCCAGACCTTAGGTCAGATCTTCACACAGCTACATCGTTTTGTTTTCTCTTCGCGCTGTCCGCAAAGGAGTTGGAGCCACGCCTCACAAAGTTCCAAAACGGTGTCACGCATCAGCTCCTTGCCGGACTCCCTGTCCAAAAGACCAACCTCACGGTCTTAGATTTGAACACAGTTCAGACATGTTCTGACACGGTACAAGTTGAAAACAATCGAAATATGTTGTCCAAATTCCCCAATTTGTTCAATAACGTTCAATAGTGTTCAATAGTGTTCAACGGCCAAGGAACCCGCACAGGAATCTGCATGGGCAACTTGTCCATCTGCCCAGGCGTATCTGGGACTGTCTGCTTGAGGGTCAAGGAATAGGTGCCAGTCTCTGCATCCCAGGCATCAGTAGCTGTCACAGTGGGAGTCCCTGCTTGCAGATACCACCGCTCAAATTGGGAGAGGTCTCGACCATTCGCATCCTACGCAATGCTGCATGGAAATCTTAAGATATCTTCAAATCCAACAAATGCATTGCATGACATGGCGACACATCATCCAACATCATCCAACAATTACACTCATCACTGACCTTTTTAAAGGCCCAGGGGGCCTGCATCGCAGATCGAAAGTCATCACAGGTGACTGCATTGCCATCGTGGCGCTCGAAATAGAGGTCCATTCCCTTTCGAAAGCCATCCCGACCCAGCAAGGTCTCGTACATGCGAATGACTTCAGCGCCCTTGTTGTATACTGTAGCAGTGTAGAAGTTGTCGATGGCAGCATATTTCTCAGGCCGAATCGGATGTGACATGGGGCCATTGTCCTCTGGGAATTGTGCAGCTCGCAGGATTCGCACATCTTCGATGCGCTTACGTGCCCTCGAGCCCATGTCAGCAGAGAACTCCTGATCTCTGTAGACTGTGAGACCCTCCTGCAGGGTTTGTAAATGGTTCAACAGAAGTGAACATGTTCAAAATGTCTTAGGTCTCCTAGGTTCGACTCCAAGCCGTACATCTACAATTAAAGGAGGCATCTTAGGTCTTAAGATTGCACTGCTTCATGAAGATCAAGATGCTAAGTGCACTAAGGTTACCTAGGTTGTGCTAAGATGCTAAAGGCATCTAAAGGCAGTGAGGCCGTGCTAAGGCTGTCTAGGTCAAAGTCTCTCCTTCAAGGTCAGCTGGAACCAATCACGGCAAGTCACTCGGTTGCCAGTCCTTCCATACAACGAAGTAAAAACATGTTAAACCGAAAGACCTTGAAAGTGAACCCAATCAATAACAGCAAAAAATGAGACGAAGGATCTAAATCTGCTAAGCCAAGAAATTCTAAAACACGTATGGTAGAAGTGCAAGGGGGGCTTGGCAGCAAGTGAAAAACATAGAAATATCATATCATATGCCAAGCACATTGGTATTTCAAAAAACTGTTTTGAAGCTGTCACCGTAAAACTTCTGAAAACAGTGCAGAACACAACTGAAGAAAGCGAAGTCACCCGAGTCACCCGAGTCACCCGAGTCACCCGAGCACAACACCCACAGAAACGTCTCAAGTTTCATTACAGTAACGCTCAACATCAAAGAGAAGGAGTCAACTGACCGTAGGCTGTCGTGCGGACTCCATGCCAGGTCCACTTCACAGCTCGGGTAGGGTCCAGCCTTTCTATGATTCCAGTTTTTCTCGGGTAAGAAATTGTAGCAACAAAGAGCCTCAGAGCAGCCCCTCAAAGGTCCAGTTGTGAAAGTACTCGTGACCAATGACGCCCTCAATGCGCTCGTAATCATCATCTGTTGCAGTGTCTTCACGCGCTAAGGTCAGTGAGGTGTTGAAGACATTCAAGCTTTTGTTCTCCATAGCACCCATGTTGAAGTCCTGCATTGATCTTGGTCTTTGCTGCAAATCTACAAGATACTGCGGATTGCATCAGATATCATATTGCGGCACCCGCCTTCACGGCGACAATGTTGTAGATATCCAAGTCGTACTCCAGTCCAAACCGCTCTTCGTCCCACTTCATGGAATTTTGCAGAGACCTACAGATTGAATCAAATAAGCCAAAGATAAGCTGCTAATACTAGGCTAAAACCAAAATGAAACAATTGTATTACAATTGTCAGTCTTCCTAACTCTCGAGAACACTCCAACTATTTCAAGCAGCATCGAACGGGGTGCCTCATGGCATGCCAGAGCTGATCTTTGTCTTCCTTTGCTGCAAAGATCTCCAAGTGGACCTCTCTGCCAGACTTCGTGATGAACCTAAACTGCTCTGCAACTCAACACAGCAAGTCTCCAAACAATCATACCATCATGAAGTCATGAGACATCCATGTTATCAGCATTCAGCCAAGGCACTTGTCTTGAATGGATGCCTTCAAAAGCAATCAAGTCCAAGACTTATAAGACTGAAAGTTTCATTGGATCATGTTGGATCATGAAGCAAATAGCTTCAATAGCTATGAATAGCTACTAAACCTTGTGCACTTAAGTCAATTGAGGCAGGCACCAAATCTCCCGCAACCACTGCAAAGAGGTAGGAGGGCTTAGCAAAAGGATCTGACCAAACCGCGAAGTGTCGCCCTGCAGATTCTGAGTTTGAATGCAAATGCAAAATGAAAGCATGTGAAAGGTTGTGACAGCAGGTTGTGCTCAAATTTGCACACGGTTAAAAACTAAGAGAACTTTCCAATGCCAGTGCAGCACATTGCTTGGAATAACAGCAAAACACTCCTGCAAATCGCTGTTGTACAACAAACATGTCTGCACAAGCTGTCGCACGGCACCTGTGCACAACATGTTCATAAGATTTTTAGCTATCGCAAACACGCTGTTTGTTTGTTCTCCAAAAACGAAGAAATCAAAACATGCGGCCAACATGTGAATGCAAGACCTTTCAACAAGACTTGGTTGCGCCCTCACTATGAATGAGAACCATTCGCTGAACACGCATGAAAACTGGCACGGTAAAACAGGCTGGGAGAGCACTAAACCTCCAGCAAACTGTCCAACTCATCTCGCATCTACCTCAAAAATCCTCAAAACCTCTTCAAATCAAGCTTACCTGGTTCTCATGGACAACTCTCTTCCACAAAGGGAGAGACTGAATCGGAATTGCTATCATGTCAACTACCAGCCTTCCTCAAGTTTGCCAGAATCAATGCGATTTCCATTGCTCAACCTTGCAGGAGCTTGCAAGAAGGAGAACACTTTCAAGAATGAGCAATGGCTGGGCAATGGCTGAGGCTGAGCAATGGTGCACTTGTAGTGTAACACTTCGGAGCACTGGTACATAAAAATCCAGTTGAAATTCGCCAGAGAAAGAGTTGAGAGCGACTCAACTTCATTACTTCACTCAACCCCACATGAAGTAACTCACAAGTAGGGCTATGCGTAGTGCTTGCGGTCAAGAGACAGGATGGGGCATTTCGATTCATCTGCTTCAAGACGAACTGAGGTAAACTTTGCCATGACATCAGGTCTGTCCAAATAGTAGGTAAACCGCCGGAAGCCTTGCAGCGATTCGATGTCAGTGTGAGAAGATACACCCCATATCGAAGTTTCAAGTGTCTGTAACAAACATCCCTTGCATTTGCATGCTTCCATTCAGGAAGACGTCTGCATTTCTTTGAACAAGAATCAAGCAGCTACAACATCCACAGGCCTTCTGCTTCCATCTGGGTGCAATACATGCTGCCGCTGAAATACAGGCCTGACAGCCTAAGGAGGTTGGAAATGCAACCTATTAGACTCCATCATTGGACCGTGTCAATCCTCTCATGGAAGTGAACAACAACTTCCACGGACTGGGACGCGTTCAGCGAAATGCAGCCGAAGAGCTGAGTGTTTTTTTCTGGCTCAATCTCTACCTCTGTTTCGAGCCATAGATCTGTTGAATCACCTGTGCTAAGACCATCAAAGCGAAAGGCATTCCGCCAATGCGAGGAAGGCAAGCTACAATCTAACATGAAGTCTTCACTACGTCAAAAAGATCTAAGTTACAACAGTAAGATGCTATCGGGCTGTCATAGCAATAGTATAGTAATAGTATAGTAATAGTATAGGAATAGTATAGTAATAGTATAGTAATAGTATAGTAATAGTATAGTAATAGTATAGTAATATCAGAATAATATCACTGCCTTTGCCCAGCAACCCAAATCAAGAAACCTGCTTCGAGAGCATCGGCTGAAATGATCCTAGGTTGTGCAACGCATTGAAAGTGGAGAGACAAGTGCACAGTGAGAATTCATGACTGGGAAAATCGTGTCTTTGCAGCAATCTAACATGAATGGATATGCTGCAAAAGCTGCGAAAACGCGAGCAAATGCAAAAAGTACAAGTTCAAAACTTAAAGAACGTGTCAATTTGAAATGCGCTTCTCTGCGATACCTGTTACTGAAGCTGGACATCGTCAGCCAAGACTCAGTTTCTCCTTTTCTAGAGTATATCCCTCGCCTTCTTTGAGTTCTTTCCCACATAGAAGGACTTTCTTGAGTTTCAAGTCCTCTCTGCATTCTCTGCATTGCAAACTGCAAGGCTAAATGACATAAAAGCAAGAACTCTTGGAATGGAAACCAAACCCTTGAGCAGCCACTTGCAATATGTAATTAATTTCAAATGTAAGTCCTTCAAGTGCTAGGCCACTAGGCCTTCAATATATTTGCAAACAGTTGAAAATCTCTCGCCCGCTGGTCCTCTCCATCCAGTGGCAGTGAACCACCTGTGTTCTTCTCCAAGAGCATTCGGGAGGCAACCTCGTCGTGCGATGTCATCCAAGCACACGTCTATAGCCATCTATAATCTATATATACAATCTATACAAGTGTTATATACAAATGTTCATACATACATTACATTACGTTGCATTGCAATACAATTACCATTACAATTACAATCACAATACATACATCATCATACATCAGTGTATATACAGTATATAGAATATATTGTATCTGAATTTAAAATGAAAAAAACCTGGCACAGGGGATCCTATGACCCATCCCGAACCCCAGCCCATTCTACCTCCGTGCGGCCATCAAAAATTCTCACGGTGAGCGTCACTTCTCGAATAAAAAAGGACCTGGGATCTCAAAGCACCACAGCAAAACCGAGCAAAACCATGAGAACAGGTTGAACCATGTTGAACCTGAATCTCCATGAATCTCCATGAATCTCCATGAATCTCCATGAATCTCCATGAATCTCCATGAATCTCCATGAATCTCCATGAATCTCCATGAATCTCCATGAATCTCCATGAATCTCCATGAATCTGATGTAATCTATTGCAATCTATTGTAATCTAATGAATCATGTATCATGAATGAATCTAATGAGAAAAGTTGTCTATCAAGGCGATCAACCATCGCGCTCACAACACCCTCCATTTTGGTCCAGGTACGGCTGCTGATAATCTTTGCGCAAGATCTCTGTGGGAGCCTTGGTGCGCTGACTTGGCTCTGAAGCATTCCAGTGGGATGGAAATGTGGCAAATGCGGCAAATGGAATGTAAGTCGCTCATGTGCAAGCTGAGACCTATGGGATTCTGACGGATTCTGAGTTTCTTTGCTCTACGCACTGGGTTATCTAATTCGAAAGGTTTCGAAAGGCTAAACTGTGATTGAAATATGAGATGAAATATATTACCTAATATAATATGAAACGTGTCCTGCACGGGTGAAGACTTCACCCAGGACTTGCCTCCAGTGTTGCAGTGGCTGTGGCCACTGTGTTGTAACGCCTCTCAGGACATCAAGTTTGCAAAAGAAAGGACCTCAATGAACCTGTATAGACCTGTATAGTCAGGATTAGTCAGGATTAGTCAGGATGGGACTAGATCATTGATGAACCTCATGGAAAAAAGATCTACCATCTTGCAATGCAAACTCTCGGACTCGGAATGTTCTCTTTTGCAATTACCAGCGCAATCAGTATTGCCTGGACATATGGGCAAACGCAATATATCGCCAGATTATGATCCGCAAATCAGTCCGTGCTTCTTTGCGGACTGACCCGGTCATATTTCCGTGACACAAGTCCAAAGGCCAAAGGTCACTGCTGAGACGGCGTGATGGTATCAGATGGTTCCAGCCAAGCACGCTGAGCTGCTCTCAGTTGAATAGCTCCATTGAAACATATTGAAACAATATCGTACAGTCGTACAGTTCTAATCCTTTCTGAGCCTACCCACGGTGGAAAACGAAACATTGCAACGATGAGAAGACTAGGATCCCACAGGAGGATCCCGTCTCCGTCTCACTCCTCCAAGGCATCTTCCAGCATAGTCACAGTCTCCGCCAAAGCTTTTCTGCCCTCGTGAAGTGCTTTCTCAGCAAATTTTTCTGCCTCGGGATAGCCCCTGGAGGCCTCGTCACTAGCAATACGATCTGCAAATTTTGCAGAGCCTGCAGTTTGCAGAGAGCACAATCACAAAGAAATGTGAAGAAATTATTTGTACTTTCCAAGTTTCGTTTCATTCCATTGCTCCGTGATTTTCTAAGTTTTGTTTCTTTCTTCCAAACAGAAATAGGGACACCAGCACTCTACAGGACATTCCCAACCCAGCCTGAGTCATCTATGATGCCATTTCCAGCAATAAAATATTCCACCACTGAAGCAATATCTTCTGCAGCATCCATACCACGTTTTCTGATCTGTTCCCTCTTGCGTTGTGGGACCTCGAGAGATTCTAGTTCAAAGTCCAAGCGCCTCTGCGGTTCGGACCATTGAAACCAATTCGCCAACCGTTGCCGAAGTCCCATGCTCGGGCCACGAATTGCATAATCATCTTCAATGGCTGTAAGAGCAGACAAGGCTTCTGCCAGCGGTACGGATGGAGCCGGCTTCGACACTGTGTTCAAGAAACCGCCAAAAAGATAAGTGGAAATCATTCCTAAAATCACCACTGGAACCAAAACGATTCCCCAGATAAAGTCCAATGCCACGGCCTGAGGATTGCGGCCAGTCTCGACAGGTGGATCACCATATTTTGCGTCTGCACCATATGCGTTTTCTGCCACTTCAGGCGGTTGAAGTTCTCGTCCAGCATAAATCATTGTTTTTGGTCTCAGAAAACTATCAAATCGCCCAGTGCAAAACGTGGGAGAGCGACTTGGCATCGAAAATACCAGGATGCACAGGAAGATCCATGGCTTGTGATGAGTTCGCAAAGACATTTTGGTCAACAGAATATTGTTTCAGTGGGTTGAAAAACTATTTCAAAACATTCAATCAATTCTATATACATTTTTAAAATGTGTCGGCCCTGATGCTGTGAACGGAATGTTCATTTCATCAAGCTGGGAATTGCCGAAAGTCCAAGTAAGGAGTCGATTTGAGTCAACAAAAACCTAAAAGATCTGAGAGTTGCAAACTGATCAAATCTGAGAGTTGCAAACTGATCAAATTGCCTGCCAACACGTCGGCGGCAAATTCCAGCTGAAGTGGCGGAAGTGGCCAAAGCCTCAGTATTGATGACAAATTCGGGAAATATCGGGAAGCAGCAACGTACACAAACCAACAGTTGTAACAATAGGAACTCAATAGCAGCACAATAGCATACAGCAAGTGGAAACAAACAATAACAGTTGACCGTACAATTGATTGCATTCTGTTCTATAAATTTTGCCCGGGCAATGAAACTCTCATTTTCAGGACTTGACAGCCAAACCCATCCGTTCAGCATTTGAAGCAGGGATGGCGTCACTTTTCAATCCTGACCTGATAGTCGGCTCACCATTGGTTGGATTATACTGTAAATAGCATATTTAATATTATTTATTTATCCACAATTTGCAACACGACAAATTCACAAAACAAATTTATCATCTGCATCCACCATATTGGTTTTGGTGACTGTCCTCGTCAGTCGTTCTGCAGCTGCAACGGGGGCACTGTAGCCACGCAATGTCTGGCAAAAGCAGACTTTGGCGTTTACTTTAAAACCCAATGATCAAGAAAAACAAGGGTTTTCTACTCGTTCCAATAAAAGATGCAAGTGGCCATGTCTAAGCCGCAGAGCCTGAGCCATCCATGCAACCTGAACACATACAGCAATACAAATAAGGAGTGCTTACATGTCCCCCTTTCCTCAAAATGAAAATGACGACCTTTCCAGGACCCTCCAGGCATCAAAACATACCAAAACATATAGTGATCAGCGATAAAGTCCGAGCAAATCCGAATGAAAATGACAATTTCATGCACCTCATGGCGCACGCCAATTCGTCCCTGTTGCATTGGCCTGCCACAAATACTTGCCGAAATACAAAAATGAACGGTACCACTCATCGAAAAACGTCATCACGTCATTACTTCACGCAAACATTTGTGGCATAATATTGTGAACAGCTGCGCTTTGAGCGACCAACTTTGTTACTATCTGCCGCACACACGCGGCAATGGCCATGCAGGCCCAAACAAGACCACGTGGGACCAGCCAAAACGCTACAGAACCGCACAAATTTTGGTTAAAAAACAAAAAAAAATGGCATTTATTAAATGATGAACGCAAAAATTGCCGTAAACCACGAAATAATGGGGCGTGTTTCGTTGAAGAACCCGACGCATCTTCCCATCCACCATGTACCACTTGCAGTTTTCAAGGTGTGCACCGTCAACATCCGGCACAGAATGCTGTTGAAGTTTAGATTGCGGTTGGAATTCGTCAAACCCCGCACCATGATTGCACAAATGGTTCCATATGGTTCGATCCATTGCACAAAAAAAACACAACCACTGCAAAAACATGATTCATTCTTAGGAATCACACCATGTTTTTTTGCGGCAACAATCAAGACAATGTTACCAACAAACCATGAACAAATTGATTCAAAGTTCTCTCAAATTTGGCAAATCCTCACGCAAAAAAACATAAAGGACCGGATAACCCCACAAATCAATTTCTTCCAATGATCACCAAGCAGGTGTGGAAATGAGATGGGAACGGCAGGAAGGAAAGGAGATGGTGCAAGACAGGTTGGGTGAAAGAGCTGTGTGACAGTGTCGTGCGTGTAAGTTTGTGTATGTAAAAGTGTTGTGTGTGAAAGAGTTGTATGTGACAAAGTTGTGTGTGAAAGATTTGTGTGTGAAAGAGTTGTGTGTGACAAAGTTGTGTGTGAAAGGTCCGTGTGACAAAGTTGTGTGTGACATGCATCTGTGACAAAGTTGTGTGGAAGATTTCTGTGCGCCACCAAAGCCAGTTCAGTGCCATAAGTGCCACACCTGCCACGCGAAGTGGAGGCCGATATCGCGAAGTGCCAGGCCTGCCACGCAAAGTGACGGTCGATGTTGCCAAGTGCCACGCCTGCCACGCAAACAGCGGCGGCGCCCACGGCGCCAAACGGGAACCAAGCGCGCCACCAGAGCCAGCCAGTGCCATAAGCGCCACGCGTGCCATGCAAAGTGGAGGTCGATGTCGCCAAGTGTGACGTGTGCCACGCAAAGTGCCGGCCGATGTCGCCAAGTGCCACTCCTGCCACGCAAACAGCGGCGGCGCCCACGGCGCCAAGCGGGAACCAAGCGCGCCACCAGTGCCAGCCCAGTGCCAGAGTTACGCCTGCCACGCAAAGTGGAGGTCGATGTCGCCAAGTGCCACGCCTGCTGCGCAAAGTGGAGGTCGATGTCGCCAAGTGCCACGCCTGCCACGCAAACAGCGGCGGCGCCCACGGCGCCAAACGGGAACCAAGCGCGCCACCAGAGCCAGCCCAGTACCATAATTCCACGCCCGCCACGCAAAGTGGAGGTCGATGTCGCCAAGATTCGCCAAGTGCCACGCCTGCCACACAAAGTGACGATCTAGGTTGCGAAGTGCCACACGTGCCACGCAAACAGCGGCGGCGCCCACGGCGCTAAACTGCCATAAGTGCCACGCCTCCCACGCAAAGTGACGATCTATGTCGCGAAGTGCCAGGCCTGCCACACAAACAGCGGCGGCGCCCACGGTGCCAAACGGGAACCAAGCGCGACCAGAGCCAGCTCTGCACCATAAGTGCCACGCCGGCCACGGCGTCAACTGGGCACCAAGCGCGCCACCAAGGCCATAAGTGCCACCTCAGAATCTGTGCTAATTCCGAACCTTCAGCCTGGCATGCATCTGGCCACAGCAGCTCAATTAAGCGGACGTTGAAGCAGCTTCCTCCGATTCTCAGCTGCAGCACGTCCCTTAGAAAAGCCTCCAGGGGTTTGCCGGTGATCCCCCACAAATACTAAGAGCGATGGCTGCCAAGGCCGCTACTTCATGGTAGCTCCCATATTGCTGACTCTCGTCCATGACTGCAATCCATACTCGAGCGAGCCATGTGCCAAAGGCTGCCAAAGGTGGAATACCACATCGTTAGCTCAAGTGAAAATGTACAAAACACACCATTCCCGGACCACTTCTGGAAGTTGAGATGTCGAAAAAGCGCACGCCGTTGTAGCGCGAAGCACATTTCCAAGTCAAAATGTACAAAACTCACCACGTTCGGACCACTTTTGGACCTTCAGAGCTCGTTTCGCGTGGCAGCCGCAAGGGATTGTGCACCTTGTCAAAAGTGGGCAAAACGTAAGGGTTTCGTCGCATTTCCAAAAACGATGGCAGGCGTGGGACATTTGAAGAGGATCTGCAAAGATGCATTTTCCGTGGTAGGCCAAGTACAAAAGACATGTTCATGAGACATGTTAGGAGGCCAGGGCGCTGATTTCCTGATAGGGGTTGCATTTTGGAGCATCAGATCTGTAGGTTTGCTAAGATGATTTTGCGTGACAGGTGCAGCGCAATAAGGATGCGTTTGCTGTCAATGGCTCTGTTGCAATCACTGCAAGGGACATCGATACGAGTAGTATATGCCTCGCCTTTCCCTTCTTCAATGCACCACAATAACCGGCCAAATAAGTGACCGGTAGGGGGTTGCAGGTCGCAGGTTTGGTCACTCAATGCCTTGGCCGCGACATTTTCTTTGGTGAAGACTACCGCAACACAGCTGGATCTGCAAGCATTGACATAAAGCTGTCATCGCCCAGAGTCTTGCGCTGATCTTCCGTATTCATCCAGTCTGTCACGAATGTCCCTGCTGTCCGTGTAAATCCCGTAACAGGTCCAACAAAGCAGTTGCAAATCACCCAGGCTCAAAAAGGAAAAACAACGCACCTCAATGTAAGCACCTCTTTCAGAAAGATCCCAAACTGACCAAGTTGACAACCAAAATGGATGATCACTAAGATAATCGTACCTCTCAGGATCCCACTGAATTCTATGCATAACACCCCATGGCTGGCTCAAAACGAAAGACTCGCAAAAAAATACCCCACCCTCCCTCCCTTTGGAGGCGCAACTTGAAACATAAAATGCCACACGAAACAAATTTCAGTGGACAGCTGACTAAACTTGTTTAAAACTTCTGTTTCAGTTTGTGTGTGTGTCATCCCTGCGCAGAAGTGCAAACTGGAAACTGAAAAACATTGCTCACAACGTTTGAGGTTTAAACAGAAAAAGGTGACAGATTGTAACTGCAGGTTTGGGAGGTTCACTGTTGACACCAGACCCAAAAATAACTCAGAGCCACTTATGGCAGAACTCTGCAGCTACAAACAGGGTCACCACAAACCCAGATGCACAGCGCAAGGAACGCGGAGAACGCACGCAAGGACGCTAGAGGAGTCCGACTAGAAGCTGCTCTCAGCCTCTTTTTAGGAAGAGGGAAAATAAAGTTTCATCAGCACGCTGAGTCGCAACTTCATAGTCCCTTGCTACCGATATTTGTTGGGTTTATATTTCAGAAGGATGCCTGCCTCGGCCTTCTGGAGATAGCCGATGGCAGTCAATTCGACTTCAACCAGTACATAGTGTTTGGCACAAAACTCACCTTTGGGTCCCTCAGGTGTCCAATCATTGAAGTACTGTGCACGTTCCCGCTGCGATTGGATCCAACCCAAAGCGCTTGGAGTACTCATCAGGCTGGATTTCCTTCCCGTTGCTCAGGTCTTCAAACTGCTTGGGGGTCAAAACCAACCAAAGACGAATAGACTCCATTGCCATTGCTGTTACAGGATCTCGAAGCGATCTTCAGGGCAATCTGATATCCAAAACACTGGGCCAAAAGTTGTCTTATATAAATACAGCAGCGAAAGTGGGATGAAACATGTACAAACATGAGAAGTCCAAACACGCAGTCAAGTCAAGTTCAACAAAAACACAGCTCCATACTTCGTCTCTCACTTAGACAGCATGTCCAACTGTTTTCACCGCAGGCTTGAGCCACCGTGTAACAAGTGAAACAACATGATCCTACCCCTGTACAGCTAACATGCACTAGAAGTCCTATGACAAGCTTCACATCGAATCATATAAAGCCATACATACATGTTATATATATACCGTCTTTGCAATAGCTGTATGCCTAGGAAGTACTTCAACCTTCTCCGGAACGCGTTGAACTTGACTTGGCTTTGCACCAAGGCTTCCCGGGACCTGGCTCTGCAAAGCCTTCCAGACCTTCTCCGGAACCTTCTCCGGATCCCTGTTGAACCTGACCTGGCTCTGCGCCAAAGCGTCCAGGAACCTTCTCCGCAAACTTCTCCCTTCTCCGGAACCTTCTCCCTGTTGAACCTAACTAAGCCTGGCACACCTTCTCCGGAACCCTGTTGCACCTGACTTGGCTCTTCACCAAAGCCTCCAAGACCTTCTCCGGAACCTTCTCCGAAACCCTGTTGAACCTCACCTGGCTCTGCACCAAACCCTCCCGGCCTTCTCCGTAACCTTCTCCGGAAACCATTGAACTTGACTTGGCTTTGCACCAAGGCTTCCTGGAACCTTCTCCGGAACCTTCTCCCGAACCCTGTTGAACCTGACCTGGCTCTACACCAAAGCTCCCAGACCTTCTCCCGAACCCTCTCCGGAACCTTCTCCGGAACATTCTCCGCCTTCTCCGGAACATTCTCCGAACCCCTGTTAAACCTGACCTGGCTCTACACCAAAGCTCCCAGACCTGGAATCTTCCCTGACTCTGCAAAGCCTTCCAGACCTTCTCTGGAACCGTCTTCGGAACCCTATTGAACCTGACCTGGCTCTGCACCAAAGCCTCCCGGAATCTTCATAGCGGTTCCCCCTGAACTGATGACGCTACCCACAGGAGATCGACCAGTGAGGCTTATCCATTGTATTGAAGACCGACTCTGTGTGTGGAAGCCCCGGTCAGTCTCTGAGGTGAGTTACGAGCTGGTTCTCATTGAAGGCATTCCTGCATTGAAGGCATTCCTGCATGGCGCTCCTATGGCCATCTCCTCTTTGCTCCCCTGGACGTTGGAACCTACTCCATTCATCAGCTTCAGATCTCCCACCCCGAAGTAGTGCCTCACAGCCTCCGGTGCGAAGGCTTGCTACGCGTCGTCCTCTTCTTCCCCTGCCATCTGCGCGACAGCAAGACTTGGAGTTCTCGGGTCGGCCAAGGATTCTTGAGCA